TAGCGACAGCTCCCAAAGCAATTGCAAATGTAGTTTTAGAATATGCAAAATTTGGTTGTTGGTGAAACAATTTAAATTTCGAGTTGTCACGTGCAGCATCGCAATAAATAAATAAATTATATCAGTTCCACGAGGCACAACATTTATTATGTGTTAGCCAATTGTTTCAAACGTCTCGCTATTCATGTGCCGAACGCATTAAAAACAATAATGTCAGTAGATGAGATTAAATGCCTTTGGTAACTGTTTATTTCGTAGTGTAAGCCATCAGCTTTTCTAGGTTGTCGGCGACCCTATATAGTTCTTGCAGTGTCTTTTTCAATTTGAAACTTCACACTATCCTTGGATCCCTAGTTAATATCGTTTCATAGTGCGATGGACAAGCTTCAGGTGATTGATCCAGTCCTGCTTGTGACAGCAACTGCGTGTTAAACGTGTCCGTGTTTTCCAATTGAGCTTTAAAAAATAATTATCATTTCTTATACGATTCCGGGCAGCTGATATAATTTGGCCGCTGAACTGGTTGCAATTTAGGTTTTCCTTCTATGAGAAGCAACCTCTCCATCCAATCTACTGGGAGACATTTATGCTTAGTATTTTTTGACATAGGTTGTATTGGAGTCTTGATGGCATTCGCCGTCATTTTAGCATCTGTTGTCTTCATGGTAGATGTTTGTGAAATATTTTGCTTAGCAGACTTGAGAGTACAAGATGCCTTGTGCTTTCCCTCTAAGAGAGGCAGCTTTCCTAACCAATTTTCTGGATTATTTTTTGATAACGCAAGAGATATGGTCGTGAGGGCCTTCATGATTGTTATAGCAGGCACTGGGATATTTTGCAAAGCCGAGTTAGAGTCAGAGACATGAGATTTACCATTATTCAGACTAATATCAGTGTTATTCTCGTGCCTTGTACCCGTAGTCTCATCAATAGGTATTGTTTTTGACGACAAGCTTCGTTGGTTTTCTATTGTGTCATTAATCGGGACGTATCTTGCGTATCTAATGAGTATTTTTGTTGTTTTAGTGAGTCTCTCTCACCCGTAGTCTCGTCAATAGGTATTGTTTTTGACGACAGGCTTCGTTGGTTTTCTATTGTGTCATTACATTGGGACGTATCTTGCGTATCTAATGAGTATTTTTGTTGTTTTAGTGAGTCTCTCTCACTTTCAGCCTCTAATAATTTAGTTCTAAGTTCCCTAATAGTAATATCACGATCCATAATTACTTTATTCTTCTCATCAATGATTTTAAACAGCTCATTTACCGTAACCTCAGTTCTGCGATCATGAGTAAGACCACCGCCATCACCGCGGGAAGCAAAATTTCACTGATTGATCTATAATGCCATTTTTAGAATCAATAACATTGTTAACAATCAAGGCTATAATAATCAAACTCAATGGTAAGAGTTTTTTCAATATATTATAAATAGTTGCTTTCTTCTATAATTATATTGTTATTATAAATGCATGCATGATATACTGAGCCATAGATATCTTATATACACTGGATAGCGCATCTCTTTTAGTAAAATTGAAGCCAAGAATATTCCAGCGATTACCCCCATTTGAATAGATGGCGGCC